CAACTAAAAACAATTTATGTTCAATAATGATTGGTCAGAGTCAATGGCACTCACAAGTTGGTTTGCTGTGGAATGTGAGGCATAATTATATCTGCCTTTGGCTTCTTCCCAATGAGCTCTGGTTTGACCAATTCAATTATGTCATAAAAGCGATCCCTCTAAACATAAACACATGACCATAGTAAATAACAAATTTATATAAGTAACAAATTAATATAATAATAACATCATTATTAAGGTTGTCTTATTCAGTTCTTACGCATGCATTGTGAGTGGCTCCTTTAGGATCCTCCAAAAATCCTTTTTTCTTGCCTTTCTTCTGCTTAACACCATCGACCTTCATCGAATCAAGCACATAAAAATTCAATGTCTTCGGCTGGAGGACATAACAAAACCAATGGTCAGCCACAAGAGCAGGCCCAAAAATCAGATCACAATCTCCTATATTGTACCCAACATGCTCAGGTAATATTTGCTTCTTGTGCTCAGAAGCCCTCCAACTAACAGGACGTGATACCATTTTCAGCTGCAATTTAAACTTGTGTTAAAAACAGACAAATATCAATAAGGCAATGAAATAAGTTATTCATCTAACCATGAAGTAGGTATCAAACAAGTGTCTTTTCACATTTCCTTCCTCTTTCATATCGGCCATCAAGGTCTTACATACAAACGACATCAGCTGCTTGTTTATTTTCTGGATTCCACCCAGTGAAAGTAGTTCTTCCCGAGTGAGTACTTCATCATGCATATCAACTATTGGCCTGAAAAAGTAACAAAAAATAATTTAGTCTTGGATATGATTTTGTTGTCAACTCATATAGGTGGCGGGTGAAAACATAATGAAAAGTTGTCATTTTATAATAACTCACTGGTCACCCTGATCCCGTGGAGGCATCTTGGATATGATTTTAAAAAATTTGTCCTTGTCCTTCAAAGTCCTCTTTCTCTTTTACGTTTCCTTTGTCCAGATCCATGGAAATCTAACCACTGGTTTAATCACCCTCTTTGATCTTCAGAGTTGTTGTCCCTCCTCCACTCCTTCCCCACTCACATCACAAATTGCTTGTCCTTCATTGGCAGCCTCATCATCATCACCTTCTCCTTCTCCTTCTTCTTCACCGACAGATTTATCCTTGTCACCTTCTCCTCTTCCTTCTTCTTCACTGGCAGATTTATCATCCTCAACTTCTTCTACTCCGTCTTCTTCACTGCTACATTTATCATTGTCTCCCTTTTCTCCTCCTTCTTCTTGTACAGATTTACCCTCTTCTCCTCCTTCTATGGGAGACTCATCATTATTCCCACCTGTATTGTCCTCAAAATCTTCATCAATGTGAAAACTGTCATCACCTCTTCCGACTCCTTCTTCTTCCACGTCAATTGGCTCCTTACTTCCCTCTTGGATGCCTTTTTTATGTGCCTCTTTTGTCAGCTGAACCTTCAGCAACTCTTCCGCAATTACAATAAGTAGTCTTTTATTGCTCTCATCAATAATAGTCACCAGTCGCCCATAAAGATTGTTCAGCTCCTGCAACAAATACCATCAAATTCAACATAATCCACATACTAAACAACTAAACACTAGACAGAGTAACACATACCGGGTCTAGATAAGGAACTCATACTCTGTCCTCTTGCCCCACTTTCACATCTCTTTGTGTCCCTCCAAACAACAACCCTACGTTGCTCTCCCTCTCTGTCTTAACAACTTCTTTAACTCTCTTCTCATTCCAGCACTCAATAGCATTTGCAGCATCATGCACATTATTTTTTTCAGCCTGAAGTGCTCGTAAAAATATATCTGCAACATGAAATAAAAAAAATTATACAAATATCAATTAAATCAAACATTGACAAATTACATTACATTACATACCAACAACAAGTACACACAGCCGCTCACATTAGAGCTCCCACCACTTCTGGATACTTTAACATAAGCCTTCAACTCTTTCGCTAAGTCCTTCATAATATATGTAACCCAATCATAATGCTTAAACCCATTCATAGTGAAAGCCATCAGCTTCAGTAACCAGTCACTTACTTTATCCCTTGAATTTGGACATGGAAAGGTTCCAAGGATGTACAACATAAACAAAAATTCAAATTTATCATCATGCTATCCAAATTTAATGTCATTTAATATCTTGGTAAATGACACTTTATAGTACTCCCTCTTCAATTTTTGATATGTTGGATTATTTTCATCTACTTTAGCCTTCACTACTTCCCCAGTGTCAGGTACACCAAGCAATATTTTAGCATCTTCTTGCTTGAATTCCTTTGAAATGCCCTTAATTCTGAATTCATGTGTTGCTGGATCGTATGAACGAAGAAAAGCCACTAGTAGGTCACGTGGGAGTCTCTCACATGCTACATGCAGCAACTTTGAGAACCCTATCTTCTCTACTCTCTCCCTCAAACTTGCATTATCATTTACAAAGTCTGCCAATGACCAGAATTGGGGCAGAGAGCACTGGGTTTGGAATGGAATTTTGTTCATCCTTGTTTTCTTCCTCTCAGGCCTTGATTCCCTAGCCTTGTCATTGTACCTATTTTTTTCCTCCTCACACAACTCTTTCCATGCCTTTGACACTTCCTTATTCTGTTCCTTAAAACGCTTTGACCTCTTTCCCCCTAATTTCTCATAAAACTCCTTCCTAAACAACATGAATCCATTCTATGCTGATTTCGATGAATCTCCTTCCAAGACCATCTTCACTCTTCTGCATATAAACAGTTATTGATGCTCAAATGTTGTCATTCACTATACAGTCGCTATAAATCACAATAGAAACATTCAAATATCATTTTCAACAGTTACTAGTACTCAAATGTTGTCATTCACTATACAATAGTTGTCAATTGCTACAACTATGTAATAACTTCCACTTACAGATGTTGTCACCCTCACACACAAATTAGCAAAAAATGATCATGCAAAAAGTAATCACCAAAATATAACGTTTCCTCACCTCATTCAGTACGGTGAGGCTTAATCTTTAATTAACAATAAAATCATTCAAAACAGTCACTTCTACTCATATGTTGTCATTCACTATGCATTCATTGTCACACACAATAAACCATTCAAAAATTCATCTTAAGCTGTCACTACTAGTTAAATGTTGTCACTCACTATGCATTCGTTGTCACTCGCAATAAATACATTCAAAAATTCATCATCAGGAATCACTACTACTCAAATGTTATCATTCACTATGTGTAAAAACCCTCAACCTCAAGACATCATAACGCATCATAAAACCTCTACTATGGTAGAAAAGGAGAGCTGTTAAAAACGAGCTACCATAGTAGAAGGAAAATTTCATATTTTTAGAAATTGACTTTCAAGCTCGGGTCAACCCGTAAGACGTTGCATGCAACTAAAATAATCCATTCATATCCACTGGGCCTCCGAGCCTCCGGCCCGGGTAACACATACATCAAAATCAGCCCATCTAAATAGTTTTCAACCATATAATCCAGAGTTCATCAAACACTAGCAATGGCCTCCGGCCAACCAAAATAAGGAGATACATTCTCTCCAGTTTACAACAAGGCCGAGTAATCAAATATATCAAAAAGCAGTCCTAAATGTGGCAATATATACTAGTCATACATATACAAATGCTAGAGGCCTAAAGCTAACCGAGCTCAAGCCTCTGCGTTTCTTCCCGATGGCCCACGCCCGGAACCTTCACCTGAAAACATTGTAAACCACGGGGTGAGACAAAGTCCCAGTAACCAACCTTTCCAATACTAGGTACTACTAAATAGGTGCTCGTGAGGTGTCAAGTGGGGCAGTTCACAAGTAATATAATAACAAGATAGCCACAATACATCATGCGAGTGAAATGATGCAAATCCCATTAACCAAATCCCTCACTTTGGGGGATTTTCAGGAGCCGAAGCCGGCCTATCCCTCACTATGGGGGACGTAAGGAGCCATAAAAGGCCTATCCCTCACTCTGGGGGACGTAGGGAGCCAAAAGGCCTATCCCTCACTATGGGGGACGTACTAAGCCAACCATCATGCATTAATGGAGGCCTTACCACGTGGTAGTAACTATCAAACTCTCACCAAATCTCAAATCATGCATCATGCTTAAATCATAATCAAGAGTAATAATCATTTCACAATTAACCTCATTCAGTGGCATATCTTTCACAAATTCCAAAATTCATTCATCACTAGTCGAAACCCCACAAGACGGTTTTCCTTTTTATACACAACATACAGTTTGAACATAATTTCTACTTAGAGCACAAAACATAAATCTACTCACAATACCACAGAAGCAAGTACTAAGGATTGGAAAGTGGTTACCTCTCGCCTGAGCAAGGAATAACAAATCGACAATGTGGCCCCGTGCACCACCACGACTCACAACCGGTCTACACAAGCACACAAACACACAACCATCATATATTAGCTTTCAAACTAATAATGTGGTCAACACAACACTTGGGGATACAAAATTCCTATCTCCCATCAAAACTCTACCCAACTCAAAGGGTATATCTATCAAGGCAACACTCCAAAGTCATACCAATCCATTAACACCTTAATTCCTTTCCAAACATCAATTAAGATTCACAACCTCAAGGACCCACTATGGAATTCTACACCCAAACATCCCATTTGAGTAATTAAGGTTCCAACAACAATTCTAAACCGATTAAACATCCAATTTAACCCTCCTTAACATAACCCAATTCACAAAACCCAAAATCAATCTCTACATTGTCATCCTCAATCCCAAATCATCCAATTCCATAAATCCTAGCTCCAAAAATTCAAGATTCTTTAAATCCAAGGAAACTACATTGATTAAATACTTAAACTAACCCAATGCAATCAATTAAACTCAAAACAATCGGTCAAAAACCTCAATTTCATCACAACTTAGAAAATCCTAGGGTTCCACCAAAAATCCTTAGAAATTCCAAGAAATTCCAAGAAAGAAAGAAGATTAGAGGTTAAAATCACTTACTTGAGGTAATGGATCCTTAGAAATGTCTTTCCCAAGCCTCAAAATTGAAACCCTAGCAGAGCTCCTCTCTCCTCCTTGAGATTTTCTAATTTTCGCACAACTGAACCCTCCAGCGACTATATAGAATCGCGACCTTTCGCCGCGGCGAACTAATCCTGAGAGGGATTACTCGCCTGAAAACCCGAATTCGCCGCGGCGAACTCCAAACTTCGCCGTGGCGAAAGCTTCCCGAGAGGAAACTCTCGCTCGCACAGAAGAACTTCGCCGCGGCGTGCCCTTACCTTCGCCGCGGCGAAACCTTCCCGAAAGACACTCCCCTCTGAAACTCCCGGTGCGCCGCGGCGAACATACCTTGAGAGGGGTACGTTCACCTATTCCTCCAACAAACCTCAAATTCAACCTAAACACCCAGATCAAGATTAAATCACTAATCTATCCTCAAAATCAACCCAAAAGAGGCTATTAAAACCCGATAAAAACTTAGGATGTTACACTATGAATTTGTTGTCAATCACAGTAAAAAACATTCAAAAAAATCATCTTTAGCGGTCACTTGTACTTAAATGTTGTCATTCACTATGCATTCATTGTCACTCGCAATAAAAACATTCAAAAATTCATCTTCACCAGTCACTAGTACTCAAATTTCGTCATTCACTATGAAATCGTTGTCAATTCCTACACCTATGTAACAAATTCCACTAACAGATGTTGTCACCATCAAACACCAATTACCCAAAAATGATCATGCAAAAACTATTGACAAAATAAATCGGTGCCTAGCCTCATTCGGTACAGTGAGGCTTAATCTTTAATTAACAATAACATCATTCAAAAAATCATCTTAAGCAGTCACTCATGCTAAAATGTTGTCATTCACTGTTCAGTTGTTGTCAATCGCTATACCTATGTAATAAACTCTACTAACAAATGTTCTCACCATCAAACACCAATTACCCAAAATGATCATGCAAAAATTATTAACAAAATAAATCGTTCCCTCTCCTCATTCAGTATCGTCAGGCTTAATCTTTCTTTCATTAACAAACAAATCATTCAAAAATCATCTGAAATCAACTTACCTTCGCGTGATTGACCCATTACTTCAACCTAATAACCTTATTACTCTCCAAAATCTCTAATCTCTGATGTAATTGATTCCCCAATGACAACCACTGTGCAAATAAAATAAATAATCAACTTACCAGGCCCCAGTAATGGTGACGATCTTCCCCTCACACCGACAATGCTCCTCCGACAGTGACTGCTCCACTCACAGCTACGATGTTCCCTTGAAGGCGATGCCACTTTCTCTCACCCTCACGACGGTCGACGGCAGTTCCTCACAGGCACGATGTTCTTTCCTCTCATGGCAACTGGCGATTGTGGCGCAGAGATGTGGGCGCGGGAAGTTTCACAACGGCACAATGTAAATAGCCTCTCCCGTGTTCCGTCTTTTTTTTTTCAAATTTTCCTCAGGGACAATTATGTCTTTGGCTAACATTTGTAAATGCCATATCAGTACACCAGGTCTGATATGGTATTTTGCTTTTCACATGCACTTATCTGGGTTTTCACATATTTAAGGGTATTTTTCTGTCTTTTTCCTAGAGAGAAATTCAATTACTGCATTTCGTAATTTGTCCCCCCCCCAAAACAGCATTTTGTATCTTTTTGTTTTTGCTGGTCATATCTTAATTATTTTTAAATGATAATCTCGTCTTAATATAAGAGTTATTTAACGAATTTAAGTATTAAAAATTAGTTAAGCTAATTATTTGTAATCAATATAAGTTGGTTTTTCTAAAGTATCATTTATAATTATGATTAGCCTTTGATAAAAATCTCTTGGTATGTGTAATTGATAAAAATAGTTTAGAATGAATTATAAATTTGAAGGGACAAAATGAATGAAGATATTATAATTAGAATAAAATTTAATTCCCATCTAACCATTATATTAAGCGCAAAAGGAAGTATAAGATATATATATCTTTCTAAACTTTGATGGCAAAAAAAAAAAACTCTAAACTTTAAACTTTGTACAACAAAATAAAAGAAGTTAATTGTAGAGAAATCGTTTCCATAAATATAAGTGTTTGAAAGTATAATACTTACATTTGGTTCTTCATAGTCTAAATGTTAAATTCTCCAATCATGATCATGTGTATTAGTTTTTTAAATATAATAATTTGATTGTAAATTTATATGAATAAAATAGCATATGTGACTATGTTTAATTAAAAAAAAAAACCTAACAAATGATTGAAACTTGAGACCATTCTTAACCTTCGCGAAGGAAAAAGAACCCAGGGCCCGTTTGCAAAATGTGGTGTCACCACGTGGCAGCCTTAACTGGTTGGCACGTTTGACTCTGAAACACAACTGCACAAGCGATCATACACGTGTCTCACCTGCGCATCATTACACGTGCCAATGCGATGCCATGGTGCCAAATCCTTATTTATTACTTGTCCATAATCCTCCAACCAATGCAAAAACGGCCCCACAACTTCTCCATAATTATTTAGCGTGAATTTCTGTTCACCCAGAAGGCATACTGAATGGAAACTCCATTACCGCAACCAGCAGAAGGGGAACATATTGAAGAAGAAGAAGATACTTCGGCAATACTGTGCCTGAGGTAGAAGAAGGAGAGAGCAGCAATGAAGTACAAGGGTTTTGACATGATGATATATCACCAACAACTGTTAAAAAAAATATGTAATAAAGATGGTTCAATATATGGATATAGATTTTAGACACAGCAAGAGAGAAAAGAGGACCAAGTAGTGCTAATGTGAAAGGAATCTATAAGCTCTGAGAAAGAGGTGGGGAAAAGTCCAGAATGATCATTTCAGGGAGGAATAAAATAAACTTAGATTTACTTTTTTATTCATATAAAAATGAACTGGTATGTGCTTGTAGAAAGTTTCTGTGTGCATGAATTGGGGCGAGCAGGGCTGAACGTAAGCAAAAGGAGGAAAAAAGTTGGTAAGACTGAAGACCCGGGTCCAGCTGAAAGTTGGAAGATATATTTTTCATCAAAGATGAGATGGCTGCTTGTGAGACTAGAATGAAAGTAGAAATAATAATAAAATTGAAGTTTGAAGAGTAAAATAAAAGAAAACGCATGGGAGACCCGTTCATTTACTTATAACGATGGTTCTCTTAGGATATGATAAAGCAATTCGAAGGACATCGAGTGCACTTGGACGATTGGGAAGTGAATAAATAATCGGAGATTTGTTGGGGCAGTCGAAAACAGCGGATGTGCGCCAATAATTAAAGAGATAGACAGGTCAGGGGTCAGTGCTCATCATTTTGATCACTACCTTAAACTCATTAGATATTAATCATTCATATTTTATTTAAATAATCCGAATTTAAATTTTTTTATTTTTATTTATTTAAAATAATTATTTTAATATATATAAAATCTAAAATAGAAATAATCTCTTAACTATCATTTTTTCAAAAAAATAGTTTTTTCTATTTAAAAATAACTAATTAAAGATTTTAAATTTGAACAATTCAAATAAAACATATACAGTTTAGATTTAATAAATTTAAGATGCTTATCAAAGCGATAAGCACTAAAACTAGCTTTCCAGCAATAATATGATAGTCTCGAACTGAGAAAATTTGAAAGGCTAAAATGCCAAAATCGTATTTACTATATTAATCAATCGTTCAATCTGTGGGCTGGGTTGGTCCTTCGTTGGGTGTTCTCCATACCCGTAAGACTTTAAGTTCTATATGTGCATTGGTTATACATTTATTGATGTACGCTGGTGAAAGATACATTTTATGATCTTCCACCAATGGGTTCAAACAGAAAAAGCTTCCAAATAAATAACACTAAATAATATATTTTTGTAGAAGTTGAAATTCCCAAACGATATTGCGCTCTGTTACTTCCAATCCATCCTTTACGTTATACTCCTCTGGTGTTATTATATGGCAGTACGACAAGATTTTTATTGGTTCCCTTCATTAAACTTATAACAAAAATATTCATTTATTATAATATAAATATAAATAGTTATTTTTGAAAAGTACATATATTAAATAGGAGTAAGATTGTCAGGTTGTTGTATTTTAAGAAAGAATTAATACAATTTAAAGTTTTTCTTAATTTATTGAAAATGTCCCTATAAATAAAACCAGAAGAGTAAGCCTTCAAGAAGTCACTTACCGTATGTCTGGCATGAGAGAAATAGAGTAGAGAAAAAAATTTAATGATTCAATTAGAGAAGTGGGATGTTAAAATTTTAATAAAAAGAAGATTTAAAATAAAAGAATAATAATAATAATAATAAATTGAAAAGTTTTAACCTCACTTCTTCAATTTTTGAAATGAAACTCATTAAAAATTTTCCTTGCACAAAACATGACAAACCATAATAGTAGACCTCGATGCCAGGCTTCAGCACTTGAAGTGCGCTTGGTTTTTTATGGTTGAATTACAATTTTAACAATAAATTTTTTTAAGTAGTACTGTACATTATAAAGTTTATTCAAATGTAAAAATATACATGAAATTGTCAAAAAGAGATTTTTGGTACCACGCCATTAACGCCCATTAGTATACAGTTAGTGGGGCTCATAAAGTCAATTTTAAGATGTATTTTTAATAACGAAATTCATATTAAGAGGTACTGCGCACCATAAAATTTGTTTATGTACAAAAATATATATATGAACTTTTTAAAATAGGGAAAAATAACAAAATTTATCTGCTTTCATAACTGTTAGTTAACTTTATTCTTTTGGATTCTACTAAATATCAAATTTCTCTCCATTTATTCCCACTAATTTGAAAAAATTAAAGAAGTAAAATAAATACTTAATTATAGTATATATTATATGATCACTTTAAAATATTTGTATGCATCATTAGATTATATATTCGTATATATAAGTCAAGAAAATTAATTTGTAAAAAATGATAAATATAATACTTTAAAGAGATTTATTTAATTTTTTTAATCTTTTTAAATTAGTCAACTACATCCTATATTAAGAACCAATGGTAGTACTTGGGTGCAAATAATGGGCTTTGTATTCTAAATTTAAGTTAAATAATTTATTTTGATTGTTTGACATATTATTAATATTTTAATCGGTTTACTTTTATTTATTGGGTAACTGGAGGTTTTAAAATAATTACTTTAGCTAAAAATTTTATTATTTATGAAAATAAATATATAAGATAGTTATATCATTAAAATTTTGAGTAGATTATTTATTTATAAATATTTGAGATACTATTAAATTTCTGATAGTTCGGTTTTGAGGTTTAAATTTCAAGTGATATTTTTAGAATCTAGAATATAAAAATTTCATATTTAGAAATTTTGGAAAATCCTTTTTATTAAAGTAAATAATTCTGAGGTTATAAATAAATAATTTGGCTTCTTAGAAAATTTTAAGTTATTTCTAAAATACTTAATTTTGGGTTATGAAGTTACAGAAATTTAGAATAAAAATTAAATTAAATTAGAAATTTAACTAATATATATAAGCTTAATTAATTAATTAATTAGCTTATATTAATATGTGGTTATATTAATTGTGTAGATTAATTATTGGTTAAGCAAAGGATTGACCTTGACAATCCTTTCTATTGCTTTGGCAAGAGATAACCACTTTCCACTTGTTATATGTGCTAATATGTTGTTTGTGAGTATTTTGCTATTTTAAAATAATGATATGTTATTTGAAACTCGAGTAAATATGTTACACTTTTTGAGATATGAAAATTGTCTTGTGAGATTTTTGGAATTGTGATTGAGAAGTTTAGAAAGATATATTATTTATATCTTATGAATTATACTGAGAAAAGACTGAGACATTTTTCGTTATATTGTAAATGATTGGTTGTTATTTGATTTTTTTTGGATTGAGCTCTGTTCTACCACGTGGTAAGGCCACCATTAGTGCATAGTAGTTGGCTTCCTTCATCCCCATAGTAAGAGATAGGCCTTTGTGGCTTTTTATTCATCCCTAGAGTGATAGATAAACCTATATGTCTGACTGATCCCTCATAGTAAGGAATAGACTTATGTGGCTTGTGTGTTAACCCCCTATAGTGAGGGTTTGGATGATTGAAATTATATTTTATGGATATATCTATATTTCTCAAGAATTAATAATTGTTCCACTTACACCTGATGAGCATGTGTTAATATATATGATGAGTTGAAAAGCTGGTTACTGAGGTGTTTGTCTCACCCCGTGGTTTTTACTATCTTCAGGTAATCGTTCAGGTGATGGCTCATCAGAGAAGGCTCCAAAGGTATAGTGTGCTGTTATAGCTTGTATAGCCTCCTGACTTTTGTTCCATATGCTGATTTGTTATATATTGCCACATATGGTTCATTTACTCTAATATTATAAACTAATACTTTTAATTACGACTAACTGATATGGGGAGACCGTTAAAAGGCCAAAGGTCTTTAAGACTTTGTGTGCTACGCTCTTTTGAAAGTGTTGACTTTTGACTAATGGACTTCATAGCTTATATTAAAGTGATTTGTTAGTTTATACGTTTGAATATATGAGTTGGTTTAAGCTAATGGTTGAATGATATTTTTGAACTTTAGAAGTCCAATGCCCAAGTTAATATTCGAAGTTGCTCATGATATAAGTTTATTTCTTTTAACCATTATAGTGATTTTAAAATTTTAAGGTTTCTTCTTTTTTATCATGGTTAATCTTTCGAATAAATTAAAAAATTTAATTTGAATGGATTTTGAAAGAACGGTTGTCACATTAAACAATGACAGGATTTCAGCGGTCAAACAATTTCGGAGGCTACTTGCCAATTTTCAAAGTAACATGCCCATTTTGACTCCTTACGCAGCCCAGCCTATCCATTTTTCTAACCTCTATGATGACGGAGAAGCTGTGTAGCTTTGAGAAATCAATGAACAATCAAAATATTCGTTAACAAATGGATAAGCTCAAATCATAATTAAAGAGTTATTGGCAAGTCTAAAAATGTAACATGCTAAGAATAGCTCACTGGTCTTAGAGCCCTTGCTTCATCCCTTGCCCCCCCCCCCAAAAGACCAAAAAAGAAACAATTTAGGAACGACATTTGATAACCGTAAATACCACACTGAGACCCCACCCCTGCTTTTTCACATTTCTGAATCCTAATGTTCCTCCAGCAGCATGTGGGAAGCGCTTTGAAAACCCAAAATCTCTGTTGTGGTAGTACCAGTGGTGGAAGATTCTAGTTCTAATCTTGGAGGGGAAGGCATGACAGGTTTTGGTGGCATTTCCAATGGCTCAAATTTTCTTTCTAACATTTCAATCACCCTACTCATTGTAGGTCTTTGACTTGGAAATGTTTGGATGCACCACAAACCCACAATGGTCATTCTCTTTGCAATATCATGTTCCTCCGCGTTACTGGCTCCATTACATCCCAAATTACTGTCTTGCTCAAGTTGAACATAAATATAATTTGGGAAATATTTCTCAGTTGAACAATTGGTTTCAACATTCATGTTCTTTCTCCCTCCAACCATATCTAATAGCATCATCCCATAGCTATAAACATCAGACTTATACGAAACTCCACCTATATTTCTATTCCAAACTTCTGGAGCAAGATATCCTATTGTTCCTCTGGCTTCTGAAATTGAAATGATGCTTTCTTTTTTAGGACAAAGCTTAGCAAGACCAAAATCTGAGATCTTGGGACAAAAATTTTCATCTAAAAGGATGTTATGTGGCTTTATATCCAAATGTAGAATTCGAGTGTTGCATCCTCTGTGCAAATACTCAAGTCCTCGAGCTATCCCAATTGCAATTTGGTACAAATTTTCCCAAGTCAGGCATAGACTATTCTTATCTGCATTGTTGTGAATGAACTTGTCAAGAGATCCATTGCACATAAATTCATATATGAGAGCCTTCTGTTTGCCTTCAAAACAAAACCCAAGAAGTGTAACAACATTTACATGGGAAGTCCGACTGCTGCTGGCAACCTCATTGATAAACTCTTCCCCGTTCTCTTTTGATGCCTTCAATAACTTTACAGCAACAGGGTGGCCATTGAGGAGTTTTCCTTTGTATACAGAACCATAACCACCTTGTCCCAATTTATCTCTGAAAGAGTTGGTCATTTTCTTGACATCTGCAAATTTATATCTTGTGAGAGCTAGAGAACCGTGATTTCTAATGAAGGCCTCAATATTTTGTTCATCCTGAGATGTCTTGCATAATCCAATTATTCGCCTCCGTGATTTGATCTTACAAGAAAGCAGCAGTCCTATTGCTCCACTAACGACTACAGCAGTAACACCAACTGAAATGCAGAGTGGTAATGGCTTTCAGTTAATATACTTGTCAAAAGAAACTACTATAAAGTAAGTTAAGAAAAGAACTAAGAGAAGATCTATCACCTATAATGAGTTTATTTCTTAATGCACGTCCTCCTGTTCTGGCTATTATATGCAGAGAAAGCAAAGTGATGTTAGAGACGTATTAGAACCTGTATATGAAGAAAGAACAGAAAAAAGGATACGAATATAAAAAGTTATCCGACTTAGCAATGGGAAATTATGAAATGCAGATGAATGCATTAACATTACCACTAACTTTTGAGCTGAGTTTTATCCTTATAGAAGCAGCAGAGTTTATATTTATCAAAACCACAGCGTTCGCAGCTTTTAACACAGTAGTGAAAACCAAGTTCAGGTGCAATCCGATTCAAAGTAAACCCCATCTTTAAAATTTCAGTTGTAAGGCTCCATCTGATGCGGTTGCATTTCAGTAAAAGTGTTACGACTATCATCCCCTGTATTGTTTCTTTTGATGGCCGCACTGTACCTCCAAGTTAAGTTGACAAGTTGGCTATACTTGCGACCTGCGAGTCAATGCAACTACTTCGTTGACATCTCTAATCTCCAAAACAAGCCTCAAGATTAAGTAATTTCAAGACCAATAAAATTGCCCTCATTCAGTAATCTTGACTGGAAAAGTCATTTCCTTGTCGTTGACGCTTTCATGCTATTTTTTCCCCAAAAAATTGATTTTTTATTTTTTAAAAAATTAATTAAAAATTTTAAATTTAAACCATCCAAATTAAATTTGGGTGCTCATTACTTGAGCGGTACTGCAGACACAGAGCCTTTTCATATTAAAACTCAAGCTTCGCAATGCAAATCACTATGTGGCATCAGATATTTGTTAGTGGAAATGCAAAATAACACTCTTTATGGAATAAACTTTCGAGAATAATGAGTTTTAGGATTGCTATGGAAAGATAATTATTTTAAAATTATAATTTTTATTAAAAAATAAAATTATTATTGACAAATGATAAAATTTTAACGAACACCTTTACAAATTATTATTCATTTTTTTAAAAATGAAAAGTCTTCAGTACTTTTATTATATCTAAAAAATTATTAATTTTCACCTCTTCCAAAAAGTTATATTTTTTTTGAAAATTTTAAATGCTTCTTCTTTTTTTAATGGGAAAGAATTATTTTAAAAGTACGGCCATGCTCCAGAGGAAAGATAAGGCGCCATGGAGGATCACTGGAAGACCTCAACGAGAACAAAGGATGCTGTAAATATCAAACTTCACGGTGCCAAGGAGAGTAAAAGCGCCAATCAGTAATGGTGGCATCACAATGACACTACTGCGGGGCAACACCTGAATGGCCCCACTCTACCTCCCACTTGAGTTAAATATCTGGCTATGAGGTGCAAGATAAGGAAGACGTGCCAGACTGGAAATATGGAATTCCATGACTTGCAAGTCAAGGCCACTACTTCGTTGACATCAAAAATCTCCAAAATACCCTCAAGATTAAGTAGTTTCCGGACTAATAATTGCTCTCGTTCAGTAATCTTGCCTGGGAAGTCATTTTCTTTACTTTTAGGTCTCGTTTGGTACGAAGTATTAAAAATAAGAGATTGATATTGGAATTGCAATTGAAAAAAATCATTAAAATAGTACCTAACATGAGTAATTGTTTGTTATATAGGGTTAGACAAACTCATAAAGGTGGGATTAAGGAATACCACTTCTCCTCATGATATTCTCCAATCCCACACATATATATGGTTTTGGCTAATCCCATATATCAAACAATTTCTTATACTAAACACTCTCTTAATAGATTTTCTTAATTGTAATCTCAATCCCAATCCCTCATTTTCAATTCTTCCTACTAAATGTAACCTTAATAGACGTCTTAAAGCTATTTTATTGACAATGACACTTAATTAGCTTCTCATAAATGGTTGGATGGAGTACTAGCTTCTCGCCCCCACACACACGGCAAATCCTACTTCAATTCTGCTGAGCAAGAGTTGAAGTTGACTTGGACATTTATCAAGAAAAGTCGTCCATAATTTATGCACAACATAGTGAAGAAACATGTTCGTGGCAGATGCCATCTGACAATTAATATTCAAACTCAAGTATGAATGTGGAACAAAAATTACTAGAAATGTATTATTAAGGAAAAACGCACAAAAGAAGAGGGAATAGATAGAATCCCAGGCAAAGAAAAGTTAAATCAATCCTGAGAAGTAAACAGAACGTGAGATGTACGTTCCTTGACCCATTCAAATCAAAGGTAGAAACAAGGCCTTTCCAATCAAAACTACGGCCTAGCAAGAGTTTATTCCCCACTTGAATTCAAATTAATTTATAGCATCACATTGGTTCGCTACTAGAAAAATGGAAATGCAAATAACACTCGTTGCAAAATAATATAAAAATGAGATTTAGTATTTATATAGAAAAATAGTTTTAAAATGATAATTATTATCGGCAATTTATAAAATATATGGAACATTTTTAAAAATTAAAAGTCTCCCATACCGCTATAATATCTAAGAAAATTAATAATTTAAATTTTAAAACAATAATAGTTCATAAAGCAACAACTTTTTTTTCCCAGACAGAAAGCAACTATATTAATCTTCACCTCTTCCCAAAAAACTCTGTTTTGAAAGTTTTAAACACTATCATTTTAATTTTCATAAATCGACCTGCCACGACGGCCCCACCGGCTGCAAAAGTACGGCCATTCTCGGGTGAAAGAAAAGGAGCGATGGAGGATTACAGGAAGACCTCAACAAGAACAAAGGATGCTGGAAATATCAAAGTTGATCGTCCCAGTGAAAACTAAAAGCATAATCGCACGAGAAGATGGGTTCATCGTACCTGGTCAGAAGATAGGTTCCGGCTGTGATTCAGCTGTCTAATTACCAATTAATTGAGTTTCACCGGAAGTGGAAACAAGCCGTTGGGGCGTTTATTCCCTTTATCTTACTGAAGGCAGTCAAATTGAATAAAGGCGTCTCTAAAGTCTAAACTAATAATATGCAATCATCGCAGCACAAGCGAACTAGTTTTTAAAGAATGATAGTTAAGAGATTATTTTTATTTTTTATTCTATACCTATTAAAATAATTATTTTAAAAAAATTAAAATTAAAATTAAATCTGGACCGTCCAAATCATATCTAGATGGTCCAGATCTGATGAGCATTGGGTGCTCATCAAAACTGATGAGCACCAATGCAAATCCTTCCCCTCGTCATTTTCAGACTATTTTAATGCCACCCTGGTTAACTCTCATTACTCTACTAACAACAATCTTTTTTTTTTTTTCAGGTATAATTCAAAGTATCTCTAAATCACTTTGTATTTGGGGCTATTGATTCACTAAAACCAATCTTAATACTGAAACGATACTATTAAAGTCTTATAACTTATGTATACCGATAGTATTAATAATATTTTTATACCGATAAAATTGTAATATTTTATAATTTAATAAGGAGTCACTATTTAAGTATAATCAAATTAGGGAAAATTTCAGTTGTAAATGAAGATTAAGCACTGTCTTTCCTAAACGTGTGATTTCATATTTCTATTTTACCTGTTACAAACTTGCCCCTTTTCCCTGTTCAAAGGTTTTAAGGTTGGTTGTAGATACTGTTTTGATATAAAATATGATATCTATTCAAATTGATAATTAAATCTACCTCATTAAATTTATTTTGAACGTACTACAACCAAGAAAAGTTGGATTACTGGTAAATCAAAACCCAATCGGCAACTGAGCTGGGTACTGTAGAAGACCAATCATATACGAGCGAACAGGGTGACCAAGCCCTTGATTTGTTCCATCGTGGATGGGGCATTTATTGAACTAATAGCTTTTAATTATGTTAAGACTTTTCAACTAGCAAATGTTCCCCGCGAACAAGCTAAACGCTTAATTAACAAGGTGAAAGTGAATGAACTGAAATAACATAAAGAAAAATCTAAATTCCTAAGAATGAATCATGAATGCCTCAGAGTCTCCTTAGTGACACCATCAGCTCTTGTTCATTGAGGGTACTGAGTTTTTCTAAAGATGTAACAAACCAAAAAATTCTATGACAAGAATAGAACGCTGATTTGCATGTCGCAGAGCAACTACAGGGCCTAACAGAAGGAACAGAGAAAGAAGTCATAAGGATGAAACACATGAAGGTGAACCTCACAGTGTAAAACTAGTACCCTGGGAATCAATGCAACAGAAATTGATCCAAAAAGAAATCTTGCTTTTCTCTGTCATCTCTGCACGAGGTGTTGTTTCGGCCGATGGAACACCCAGGGGCACAGTCATAGAATATGGTCATGGTCACAACGGTTGGGTCGAAAGGAAACAGAGTGGGGTCCAAAGAAGTGTTGGTGAAACGAAAAGAACAATTGTCGTAGTTCGGGGTGTCTCTTCGCACCATTTGATGATATAACGAGAAGGATCGAAAACGATCAAGCTGAAGTTTTGGGAGCCAATTTGAATGGAAGCCACGTTAGGAGACAGGCACGTGATTTCGAAACCATCTCTCCCACAATAATGGAATCGGTTCCCTTCCCGGAAGGGGTACGATATTTGTGATCATCTTTTGGACTCAGGGATTATGGCAGAGCCGGTGTTAACAAGAGGTAGAAGAAGAAGAAGAAGAAGGAGTTGCAGAGTGTGCATGGAAGCATGCGATTATGGGGATTCCTTACGTTAGAGAATAAGAGTGTCTAGTGGTGTTTTCGATAACCACTTATTGTGACAGTCACAAGAAAACAGAGGATGAGGAGAGGAGACAGAACCTAATGGAGTTTCCTACTTTTTCTACTTTCGATCCTTTGTAACTTTGTTGCTTAGTTCAGTTCTTTCCTAAATGTACGTCCTACTCTGCATAATACATTATGCTAAACCTATACCAAATTATTAAACCATATTGAATCAGTGAATCTCATCTCTTATCGTCATTTTCATCATAACACAAACACACTACTCTTCCCATAGCACAAAATTAGCTCGATTAGATTAAAATCTTTATTTATTCAATCTCATTCCTAAGATTTAGCGAGCGTAAATGAGCTAGACCATGAGATCAAATTTGAACTAGCAGCTCTACTAATGAAAACACAGTAACAACACTATCATGAAGATATAAAGTTCATATTTTGGTGCTTCCTAAAACGGGATGCCCAAAAATTATTTAACACATAGCTGCCTCTTCTTCCTTAATTTATTTTTCCTAAATGTCATATTCTGCATATTATAATATGCTAAACCAACCCATTCAATTAATCTATGAAAGGGGAAAGCCACCTAACCTGTTTAAGAAAATCAAGCGCTACCATCCAAAATAAATTAGGATCATCATTTCGTGAAGCTGGGAAGGAGAAAACATACTCTGTTGTGGCTGCAACAAGGGTTCTGGTGTTGGTGCCTCTACTGGGTCATCAGGAAAACAAAACCCATGTTGTTCATAGCTTTGATTAGGACAAAAACATGTGAATCTACCAAAACTTACATCGTACCCACATCTCCCACCTGAAATTCTGCAATCTTCACACTGCCCTTCTTCTGTCAGTTCCCATATAACCTCAAAACCTTGACCTATAATATGACTAGGATCTACAGGATTTTCCATGAAACTTCTCGCTGCCTCCCCAAGAATAGGAACTGTAATACTAATTCCGCATCCCAGAGCACTCCAGTTAAACCATCTGTCGCTGATCAGCATAAAGTATGCTTTGCGAGGATTTCCACTTACGGGGCAGTCAAATGTCATGTTAGTCGATAGATTCACAGGAGGAGGCGTGTAGTCTAAAAATTCACAGTCATATAATATGGTAGAGTTTACATTACTGGAAGTGTAGTTGAAGAAAGCATAACCCAACGTGATGTTGTTGAATTCGTTCGGACAGTCGGTGCCCCACAAATCCATCCTTGTTATTTTGAGAGTTCTTGTGGTTGAATTGACATCGATGACACGAAAATTCTGGGACGCGATGTTCATAGTAACATTGTCTCCTTCACAATCCAGCTTGAAGCTTGGATGCCCACAATACTCGGGCCGTGAATCGAACCAGAATGGATAACTAAGGTTGGTGAAGTTTCCGCAGTTAAACAGCTCGCAAGCTAAGAACAGTTCATCAGCAATGGCGAAATATTCTGGGAACAAGAGACTGAAGAAGAGGAAGGTCTTGAAGAGGAGGAGTTGAGAGGGAAGAAGACAATTAGGAGGACCCATGTACGGCATGATTGCAACGAAGCTCTGTGTTTGAATGGCCAATAGCGATGACGAGAATATAATTAAATCAAAGTCAAACTATAAACCCTGCATGTAATTGGCCTCATGAGGCTCAATCTAGATGGCTCTAACTCCTTGAAGGGTACACGAATTGGAGACGGCTCATATATCCATTAGCTTCACACCTACTGGTTTGGATTAATACGAATATTATGAATGACGCAGAAAACGTGGAACCTTAGACCATTCCATATATAAGACTGGACTTTTACATAACATTACGGCGTATGACCAAATAATAATAATAAAAAAAGAGCATGAGGGGTGATTTTAAGACGAAGGTTGATGGAAGAGATGAAGGGTTCTCTCTGTTGCTAATTATTTTGAAACAATTATTATGGATGTAAAATACCGTGTCATTTGTAGGTAGATTTTATACAAAACGAGTTTCATACACAAACGATCCATCAAATGTCATTTCAAAATGCTGACTATTATATATTTGTTATTTATTAGTCATATGGTCAGAAGTCAAGGCATCTAATTGCCTATTTCTCTATTAGTCCTCTTTTTAAAAATATCAAAATATGGTTCTTTTCTCACCAACAATTTCTTGCTTTTTTTTTTTTGGTTTCTTTCCAATGGAGCTCTGGATTGGGCTATTTCGTTTCTATTGGGGCCTCAGACGTTTTGGGCTTTCACATGTATTTGGTTAATAATTGGGCTCCACATGTCAAAGAATTCGTCTGCCGCGTGAGATCAAGCAAGACTACAGAACACAGCTTAGCCACAGAGTGGTCCTAATTGAAAAACTCAATCTTACGAAAGTACCAGTCATTAGTCAGTTTGAAATTTGAGCTTCCTATATGTTAAGGCACAGTTTCATCGAAACCGCTTCATCATCTATGCGTAACTACTACCACAGTCTGCACAGGGCAAACCATCTCAGAATAAATAGTACTAATAATTTACCTTTCATTCCGTGTGCATACAAATTAATGGCAGATTTCATTCATGCATGCAACAACAACAAGAGAGCGAGAGAGAGAGAGAGATTATTCAAATCAAAGACCAAGGATATGACGGTCTAAATTCTCCGTGAAATCAACAACAGACTGCTGAAAACTACGTGCCATAAATTGCTTATTAATATGAAATTTAAGCCTCGCACTTCATTTATGTGCAAAGACACTAACAGCAAATTAGAGAGAGAAAGATATGAGATGCAGATGGGATCAATTACAAGAAAGAGAAGTTACCTTTGCTGCAGCTTTTGGTTGCGATACTGCCATGCCCGCAAAAGCATAGCGTCTGATTATTGGTTTGATTGTGGCCACAAAACCCTCCAGATATCTCACACTCAGAGCAATCCATGGCTCTCCGCCAATCAAGCACAAAGCCCTTGTTCATGGCTTCACCAAACCCAGTTACCAAGGTATCACTACTGATCTCTTCCTGCTTCGCCACTACTACCACTTTATCCTCACATTCTATATTCAGCCCATATGTATCCCACGGCGTCGTCTCGATATATGACTGCTTCGATCCTTCATTTTCCAAGCACCGTATGGCGTTGGAAGGAAGATTATTGACTTTATTAGATACACTGCAATTGAAGTAGAAAGTCAGGTCCATATTCAGCCGCTTATTAACACTCAGTGGGAGGTTTCCTAAGCTAACATTTTGGCGTGCTCTGGGGCAGGTTTGGTCCACCACATCCGTGTCCACAAGTGTTACTGTATCATCATCGTAGTTTATATCTGTGACATAGTATGTGTCGTTTGGAAGACTCATGATGGTTCGGCCATGTTCGGAGCATTTGAGACCAAAATCACGGTAACCGCAGTATTCTTGGGTGGAATTGTTGTTCACCCAGAAAGGATACCGAATGGGAACTCTATCACGGCAACCAGCAGGGGGGGGACATATTGAAGAAGATGACACTTCCGCAATACTGTGCGTGAGGCAGAAGAAGGAGAGAGCGGCAATGAAGTACCGGGGTTTTGACATGATAATCTGTCACCAACTGCTGCTAAAAAAAATATGTAAAGACGGTTCAATATATAGATCTAGACACAGAAGGACAGAAAAAAGAGGACCAATTTATAGTGCTAATGTGAAAAGAATCTATATGCTCTAAGAAAGAGGGGAAGGAAAGTCCAGAATGATCATTTCAGGGGAGGAATAAAATAAACTAGATTTACTTTTTATTCATATAAAAATGAACTGGTATATGTTTGTCGGAAGTTTCTGTGTGCATGAATTGGGTTGAACGTAAGAGAAAAGATAGAAAAAATGTTGGTAAGACTGAAGACCCGGGTCCAGCTGAAAGCTGGAAGATATATTTTCCAAAGATGAGATGGCTACTTGTGAGACAAGAATGAAAGTAGAAATAATAATAAAATTGAAGTTTGAAGAGTAAAATAAGGGAAAGCGCGTGGGCGACACGTTCATTTACTCATAACGATTAAGCCTTCGAGGAGTCACTTACCTGGTGTTTAGTATGAGGGAAATAGAGTAGATGAAAAATTTTAATGAGTTAATCAGAGAAGTGGGGTATTAAAATTTTAATAAAAAAAAGATGTAAGATAAAATAATAATAATAATCAATTAAAAGCTATTAACCTCACTTCTATAATTTTTGAAATCGAGCCTATTAAAACTTTTCTTCCTCGCCCTTCTCCTTCTCTCCATTTCCTTCATGCCAAACCACCCTTAACCAGACCAATATAAATATATGCTTAGAGATCATGATGGCAGGTTAGCAGCACTTGTATTGCGAAAGGCTTTTTTTAAGGTTAAGATGTAATTTTAGCAAGACAGTTTATCTTAAGAACATTAAACACCATAAAGTTTATCTCTGTACAAAAATATATATAAAGTTGTTAAGAGGGAGTATCTGGTATCACGCCGTTAACATTTATTAGTACACAGTTAGTGAAACCAATAAAGTCAGTTTTAAGGTGTATTTTTAATCACAAAGTTTACGTCAAGAGACACTAGGCACTATAAAGTTTATTTGGATGTAAAAATATATATAAATTTTCTAAAATGGGAAAAAAATAACAAAATTCATCAACTTCCATAATAATCGTTAGTTGACTTTACTCTTTTAAGTTCCACTAAATATCAAATTTCTCTCCATTCATTCCTACTTCCTCCTTTTCTTAGTATAATAGACTAATTTGAAAAAATTAAAAAATAAAATAATTATTTAATTATAGCATATATTATATGATCACTCTAAATATTTGTATGCATTATTAGATTATATTTAGTATATAAGCCAAGGAAATTAATTCGTAGAAAAATGATAAATATAATATTTTAAAGTAATTTCTTTAATTTCTTTAATATCTTCAAATTAATTAACTACGTCTTATATTAAAAACCAATGGTAGTATTTGGATGCAAGCAATGAATTTTGTATTTTAGAAGGAAAAGATGACATCTTGGGTAAATACATATAAAAGAAGCTGAGAAAATAACATGACAGGGAGTGTGTGCTAACTATGATGAGAAAAATAGTGGTGGACTTGGAAGTAGGAATTGATGGAGAAAAATGCAACACTTGGTGAGACCCAAAAGGATATCCAAAGTTAACAGATGTTTTATCAGAGTTGATTAATTTTTTTTTATTTTTTTTATTTTAGAAAGTTTATGTATATTTTTGCATCTAAGTAAACTTTATGATACACAGTGCCCTTTGATGTAAACTTTATTGTTAAAAATATACCTTAAAACTAACTTCATAGGCCCTATTAACGGTAAACTAACAGCCGTTAATAGTGAGGTGCCAAATGCCTCATTTTAACAATTTCATGTATATTTTTGTAATCCAAGTAAGCCTTAAGGTACATAGTACCCCTGAGGTAAACTTTGTTGTTAAAATTACAACTTAAATCCTTTTTTAAATATAGCTATTTGATCAAGTCAAATTCAAGTTCAGTTAAATTTAATTAGAAATAATTTTTTAAAAAACATTTATACATTCACACAGATTTGAATGTGCTTTAAAGGTAACTTACACTACCACTTTGAACCAATTATGTAAAACCTTTCATAATGTACTTGTTTGATTATTATTTGAGATCCTATTGGGTATTAAATATCGTACTTTTCTCAACAAAAATTTAAATTTTAGTTCACCACATCTTGAGGGATAAACCTATTTCACTAGATCCAACCCTATTAGTAATTATTGCACTTTTGTAGACACTGGACAATTATTGCATTTGAAATGGTAATTAAACAAACAGGTTCAAGGCCCAGTCAACAACCCAAACTAAATGGGCCCAAAAATGAGCCATTGTGCAAGTTCCAAGAAGTAGGCCACGCCGCTTATCTGACTTATAAGTCTAGCCCAAATAAATAACCCATACCAAATTGGAAGTTTCATTGCTTTGGGCTTTTAATTTTTAATTTTCCCAATTTCTCAATTTCCGTCTCCCTTGGACCGAAAAGGTCGACAATTGCATGAGCCCACCTTTAACTATAAATGCTCACTGTTATATCTTTTTACGTTGCATCAGACTAAAAAAGATATGATATGAGTAAAGTGAGATGTGGGTAATAATGAAGGGTTTACATAAATTTTTATTAAGTTATAAACTGGTAAAATTGAACAAAGAAAAAGCAAAGTTGTGATTGTCAACTTCAAGAGGTTGAGATGGGATTGAAGGTGATGCAGATTTTGTCACGAAAAGAAGGGGTGGAGAATATGCTGTGAGGAGGCTAGAGATATGCTTGAAGATTTTGGCAGCATGTGGATGCTGAGACAACACAACAAATGATGGAAGGCGATGGTCTCACTTTTCTTTTCTTATTTTGGTTATTCTCATAAAATAATAATTATTCTTATTTTTAATATAAGAGCGAGATTTACTTGTAAAACGTCAGTTTATTTCATCTTCTAAATTTATAATTATTTTTCAAATTATCCATATTAAATTTACATAGTAAGAAAATTTTCATCAAACAGCAGTTTTCACTATGAGTGATTATTAAAGAGGACATCTTAAAAAGACTAATATATATTTCTTTAACAAATAATTAACTAAGTTTCCTAATATTTACAAATTAATTATACAGATTCTACATTAAAGATCAGAGGGAGTATACCCTCCTTACTCCCTCTAATTTTTAATATAAGATCTAGATAACTAATTTATAAATATTAACAAAATTAAGTAAACTAGTTATTTATGATAATTAAACATTAATTTTTCTAAAATATTTATTTAATAATGTGTAATGTAATTATCTATTCGTAAAATTTCATTCACTATACGCAATGAATATGGATACTTTAAGAAATTATAAAATTAAAAGATAAAATTATATCATATATTTAAAATTAAAATAAATGTTTGAGTTTTCTTTTTTGCTAAGCAAATATCCTTTCTGTTGAAAATAGTCCTGTTTAAAATATTATTAAATACTAAATATAAACACCTTTCTTGTTAACATTCAAACCTTGATTTTTACGAGAGACTACCTAATTGTAACAGGGTTAATTAATCTGCAAGTCTTTATAATTTTAACTAATTTTGAATCAGGTCTTTATAGTCTTTTTTCTTTTTATCAAGTCCTTATACTTTCATATGTTTTTAATTAGGTCCTTGCACTTGTTTTTCTTTTCATCAAGTCCTTATAAGTTTACCTTATTTTTAATTAAGTCCTTGAATTTTTTATTCTTTATTTTATAAATTCTAACAGTACTATTCTATAAACATAAAATAGTATATATTATTTAATATTAGTTTATAAACAATAATATTCTAAAAATAATGAATTATTATAATAATTTTATTTTTTTCAACAAAAAATTTAATTGTTCCGAAAATTTTTCCTGAATTAATTATTTATATTACTTATTTTTATTATATAATTATTAATTTAATTTAATTATTAATATTTTATATTTCAGTATTAATCTATTTAATTAAGTTTATATTTAATTAATAAATAAAAATTAAAACTACATGAACCTTATTAAAGATTTAGTGAAATTATAAGGACTTAATAAAAAGAAAAATAAGTACAAGAACCTAATTAAAAACATGTGAAAGTATAAGAATTTGATAAAAGAAAAAAAAACTGTAAGGATCTGATTCAAAACTAGTTAAAACTATAAGAATTTACAGATTAATTAACTCCTTGTAATAAATATTTGAGCCACGTCCCTACTTGATTGTCCTATGCGGCCGAAATAGCACTCATTGGTGCGGGGCCTCTCTCTGTCCCATCCCATGTGTTTCTTCTGTACCTCCGCGGCCTTTTTCCTTCCG